TCTGGTTTTAGATCACGGTGAACAACCCCTTGAAGGTGGCAAAAAGCAACCACAGTTAAAATTTGCACAATTATTTTCTTAGCATCCCCTTCAGTGTATCTACCACCTCTGCAACAAAGGAACAATATTAAACATGATCATAACGATGAGGTTAAGAATTGCCTTAAGAGTTAAGAGGTACAAGAGAATAAAGCGGTCCTTCAATACCTAGATAAAATTCTGTCAAGTAGTTCTCCACCTTCACATAATCTGACAACAAAAGAATATGTCACTATTAAGTTGTAGAATGCACGCCTAGACCAATTGCAGATTAGCTTAAAGACAAATTCATATGCATGATGCATATTATTTTGATATTATGGCTTAATTTATATGAATGATGCATATTATTCAATATTCTGGTGCAATGCTTCATTTTAATCAGTTCATCTATGAAAAGGTATCGGACATGCATGATTGGTGATAAGATTAAACTTAAAGACTGAGGAAGGACTACTACAAATAATAAGAGATCTTAAAATAAACTATAGCAAGAACAAACATACTCCATGACGATATAGATATTATTAGCATCCTCAAAAGTATCATGAAATTTGATCATGTGTTTATGACCAGATAAGGCTTTCAGTATTTTGACCTCGCGCCGAACATCTTCAACTGATATTGCTGCGGTCATCTGCCAAATAACATCCAGTCAGCGATTCTTCTCAAAACCATTAACCATTCCTGAGTGGTGCATTTTGTCTAAAAATAAAATGTTAGTTAAGAAGCATGAAGAACAAAGCTATGATTGCATAAAATATCTCAACTGGTTTCCAGCAAAGCATTCCGGACATGAAGGGCGAGGGGAGGTTCACTCAGGATTATAGCCAGATCTTAATTCTCCATTGAAGATGGAACAAAACTTAAGCCGGTCCCAAGTTATGCATTACAAACCACGCATACATTGAAATATCCCAAATCATTGATTACTAAACACACATTCATCGAACTATCTTGCTAAAAACGTTACCATTCTACGGGCGGAGCTTAGTGAGGGACCAAAGGGGCCACGGCCCATGTTAAAATTTGTATATTCGATATAATTTTAGTCTAATAGTATTTTGATTCATGTAAAAATAAATATTTAAATTAAAAATATAAAAATTTATTAAATATTTAATCAAGGACCAAACTAAAGAAGTATAACCCGTGTTATCAAAATTTTTGGTCTAATAATAATTTAAGTCATTATAAGTTTAAATATTAGACAAATTAGTAGTTATCTTTTGCGAATTTTGAGATTTTTTAATAAATCTATGATGAATACAAGGTAGTATATGTATAAAGACTCTTAACTAGTTGACAATGAACGCTCATACCTCTACATACAAAGTGCTCGAACTCGAGACCTCAAGGGTAAAAATAATCCCTTAATCACTAAGGTCGCTTGGTTCGTGCTGAATTTTGAGTTTAAATACCTAATAAATTTTTATATATTTTTTAAATAATTCAATATTTCGACCCTATCAATATTTAGTTCTGGCTCCGTCCTTGGTTTTATCTTTAGAAATCTTAATTGCATCACATCTTAAATACATTAAAATAAATAAGTAAAGCATGCATGATGCAGCTATGTTTTTCAACTTCAATCAACGGGTTTAGAGTTCAGAATTCATATCTTCATGCCATCAGCGAATTGCATTTGAAGATAGCCCCCCAAAGGTTTGTTGATAACGTAAATATAAGTTTTTTCCTCTCTTTTTTTGGCATTTTCCGATCTTTGCAATATATCCAAATTTTGAAGACTTAACTTCAAGTATTTTATTCTCATGATATTCAGCCATTGTAAACTGTAATGGAATCTCTTCGAAACAAAATGCATTTTCAAGTGACTCAATACATTCTAACAGCGAAAACTATAATTTCTTCCTCTTAGTCAATAATAGCATGAACCATGGAACATGAAAAAATAAATTGAAAAAGCAAAACAAAACAAAACAAAGAACATACCAAAAACGACATACCTTAGCTTTAGAAATGATCTTAACGGCCACCGTCTGTCCCTTTAGCTCTCCTTTCTTTCCCTTGGCCCAGCAAGTATGACCAAAATGCCCTCGCCCCACCTCCTTCCCCAGCTCAAATTTAACCCCTAACTTCTTCCCGTACCCAAAATTCTTATCTAGCACTGCTCCTTCACCGTCCTCGGGGATCGTTCCTTCCACCAGAGCTGCCTTGTTCGACCCCTTTCGTCTCATTAGCGCGACCATGATTGGCTTAGCAGGAGAAGGAGGCGGAAAAGGCCACCTGAACTTCCTACCCGGCGTTCTAGCAGGGGATGGAGACGGTGCGACTCCTGCGGGAAGTGGACTGCCAAATGGACTAAACGAGTAAGAGTTGGTTTCGACGTATGGAGTCGACGGCGCCGGAATCGGTGGCATCTGGTATTGGTTAGCGGTGGAGGTAGCTTCATTGTCGATTGCGGAGACGTTTTTGCTGCAGCAATGGCCCATGATTCTGAACGCAGGAGTTCTCACTAACCGTTCGTTCTCAGTCAAATCATCGGACGGTGAGAACTAAAGCTTCAGGATTTGATTCGCAACTGAGAAACCAGCACGGCGAGAAAATTGAGAAGAAGAAGAAGAAAAGGAAGGAGAAAAGGTTGGTAATGAACTATAAATTTGAAAGTTGATGAGAAAAGTTCAAATCACAATTCACAGGTAGCTGTGAGTATTAATTGGAAAAGTCGCACTTTCCTTGTTCAAAAAATGTAAATGTGTGGGTCCAACTCCTAATTGTATTTTAAATTTAATTATTTGATTTAAAAAATGAAATTTGATTTAAATATTAAAAATGAAATTTGATTTAAATATTAAAAATAAAATCAAAGCTTTTCTATTCAGAATGCGTACAAGACCCAAACTGCCGGAATTTAGGGTAAAATTCATAAATGGTCCTTTGACTATATAATATTATTTTGTTGAGTTCTCAACTATTAAAAGTTATAAAATAGTCTCATGATTATAGGATATTGTTTTGTTGAGTCTTCGACTATTAAAAGTTATAAAATGATCACCTGACTATTCATATGTTTCAAACTCGTCATTTTCTGTTAAAAAATTGATGGTCGTTTGAGTCGGACGCTAACCTATTGATTGAGATATGATAAAATTATATTTTAATGATGTATATCGGCACCGTCGTTACTTTTAAGCACTAGCTTGACGACATAATGTTTCAAGCATCAGTTCGAAAACATAATGTAAATGGAGACTCAATTCACAAAATATTAAAAAATTATGAGACCAAATTTTATCATATCTCAATCAACAAGTTAACGTCCAACTCAAAATACCGTAAAATTTTTTAATAGAAAATGATAAGTTTGGAACATATGAATTGTTAGGTGACCATTTTGTAACTTTTAATAGTCAGGGGACTCAACAAAGTAAATTCTAATACTCATGAGACAATTTTATAACTTTTAATAGTCGAGGGACTCGACAAACCAATACCATATACTCAATTTGTTGTTTCTAAACAATTTTTAGGTAAAACTATATTAGATACCACTAAATTTTAAGTCATATATCATTTATACTATTGAACTTTTATTTTTCTAATTATAGTATTAAATTTTGATTCTAACTTCAATTATGTCATTGAGCCATTAAAATTTAATGGTACAACAACGTGGATAGATCTTTCTATAACAATAATGATGTTTACAAAACGACATCATTTTGGGACCAATATATAATGAGGGCCATAGTTTGAGGATGAACTTATAATGTTCAAAAGTTTGAGAATTAATTTATAATGTAAGTATAATTTGGGGATGAAATTAAAATAAGAATAATACTTTAGGAATGAATAGTGCAATTAACTCTTAAATAAAAATTAATTTATCATATTTATATAATCAGATTATGTTTGTTTTTATTTTAATTGTTAGTTTAGGATTGATGAAATTTATAAGAGTTGGAAATACGTCATGTTGTGAATCAGCTTTGAATGCATCGTCACGGCTCTGTTTGGATCGGAGACAACAAGACAATGAATATTTTTATTTTTTAATTAATCACAGATATTCGATCTATTAACTAATTTAATATGAAATACGTCATGTTGTGCATCATCATAGGTCTAACATGGAGGTGATCCTTTCAGCTCAGTTACTCCATTCACAAACGTCAAAATTTAAATTTTTTAAATTTGATCATTTAAGAATCTAATGTCTCATTCTACTAAATTAATTAGTTGTTGGTATAACTATTTAATTTAATTCGCAAGCAAAAAGCATTTGCTTATTGTTAGACAATAGAATTATATAATTAATCCAAATATATTTTCATTTATTAATTATCATATTTTTGTTAAATATATAATATTTTTTAGTCAATAATTTAAAATATCAATGACTTGATCTTTGTAGGTGACCAAACTAAATAGTCACAGCATACCATTAGTTCATTTGTCGAATTGGCACTTCAATTTTAATTTTTGTTTTGACTTTAATTGTTTTTGGTTTAAATTTGAACATTTCCAATTTTCCAATTTGGGTTTTCACAATTCCTTTTAGTTTATCAAAATTAGGATTAAATATTTAAAAATTAAATATTTTAGATATACATTTGAATATTATAAGCTTAATTTTTGGTATAATACTTAACATTATTTATAATTATCTACAACTCTAAAATAGACACGATAACCTATTTAAACATAACATTAGTGTTGATTTTGAAATAATAGTTAAATAACCAATACGAAACTAAATTTATAGTTGTGTGATTAAATATGTAAGTAACATATGCATAGTTCTAACTTTAAAATAAGATACAACAAAAATTATTTTTTTAAATAATTTAAAGTAATTATAAAATAGCAGAGGCTTAGTTTTTTTTAGCTCATAAATACTCAATTTCAATAATTTTAAAATTTAATTAATAAATATAAAATATAGTTAGATGATAAAAAATAATGATAATAATTTAGTAACGGAAATTTATCTCATAAATATTGACTGCTTGACCAGAAATGTGTAGACCACGCGCGACCAGAATTCGTGATGGAATCTTATTGTCGATGAACTTTGCCCTATAAATGGCGGGAGCCTTGCCTGGGTCGAAACTTCACGCTCCCACTCATCTCTCCCGCTCTCAATGGCGTTAAAATCTCACTGTTTATCAAACTGAAATTAATTATTCTCCAAAACCCCTCCAAATCCCTATCTTTAAAACCCAATTTCCCCCATTGTTCTCCACCTCTACTCTTTTAGCATTTGCATACTTTCTTCTAAATTTATTCGATTCTAGGGTTTGGTTTGTATCTTCAATTGAAATTTAAAAGAAACCCTATTTTTCTTTCCTTTTCCTTTTTGGGTCTGCTATTTTGTAGATAAAGAAAGTGTGAGAGTTGGTGTGTCGTGGAACATTCTGATTCAATGGAGGTAGCGGCCAGTGTTGCCGCCGCACGGAGCGGATCGCTCCCAATGTCATCATCGTCGCGTAAGGAGTGGCGTGTCATTTCCGACCATCATCCGGTTCGTAATCATGGGATGAATGGTTATTTAATTTGTTGATGAATACTCCTCCATTTTTTTGGTATTATTTGGGTTCTGAGATAATATTGAATTGAGGACGAAAAGTCCTCATTGTTTGGGCCCTATGAACAAGTAAAAAAAAGTTATCGTGTTTGATTTAGTTTTGCCTAGTGTTTGGGTTTTTTCTCTGTTCTCTGTTAGCAAAAAGAGAGATTTTTTTATGTCATTTATGAACCAATCTTGTGCTCTACATTGCAGCATTTTGATGCATTAATTAAAAGTTAAAACATTTAGTTCACTTTGGTGACAAGTTTGTGGTCCATTGTTTGTTGTAATAATTTGCAATGTTAATTGGGTTCATGTCAACTAGATTAAGTGTTTATGTAATCCTAAGAGCTTAGTAAGTGTTTTGGTTTAGTGACTGCTATGGGGAAATGTCCAGCTGTGAGCAGAAGAGCATCAAGTGATGTTGATTACGCTGTGAAATATTATTGTTGCTGTTATTAATAGACCATCACCTTTCATTGAATGTTTTATTCAGTTTTCTTGCGACATGCAGGAAATGGACAGATCAAAGTTGGGACAATCAGATGAGAGAACCATTTATGAGGTAAGGCTTTTTAATCTTAAAATTAGATTCTTTTTTTTAGAATGATGAGAAGTGAAAATTTTTGAATGCTTATCAATGTGCAGCATGGGAGAGAGCCTTCTGATGTTAACTTCTCAATCAAGGTTGATGGAAGTTCAAATGACATTTTACAGCAGCAAATCGACAATATTACTAGACAAAGAGAAGAGCTGCTGCAAATGGAGGTTAAACTCCGAGCACAGGCAATTGCAAGGTCAAGGGTCCTAGAAATGCAGAGCAGTTGTGATGCTAAAGTAGCTTCCCATGCCAATGGTGTTGCTAAGCTTGAGGTTTGAATTTAGAATGTGATTCACAGTATGATGATTCTGGAATTCAACTTTCAGAGAAAAAGAGAAGTTTTAATTGCTTTGATGAATGATAATATGATCTTGATTTATGAACAAGAAAATGAAAGTAGAATTTCAGATCATAAACATTAAGTAATATATGTCATCATGTTTTGACTGTTGAAGCCAATTAGTAAGACCTGTCCCTTTTTTCCTGGACTAGTATACAAGGCATATTGTTATTTATTTGAAATCACATATTGAATATGTGATGTTTGAGTGGTCTATAAATTACCAATCACATCCATTGACACTTGAGAAATTATTTCCAGGCATGCTACAACTAGGTTCTATGGTGTTGCTGTCTTTTTGTGACTTCCAATCTGTATTTATTCTTTATTTACTTGAATAGGAGCAACTCCATGAAAGAGAGCAGACCATACATGAATTGGAAAGGGAAATGGAAGAGAGAGACAGAGAATTGCATGCCATCAAAGTGGATAAAGAAGAGGTTGGCCATTTTTTATTCTGCTTTTTGACGAGCTTTGTTTTTCTTTTGAAATAAAGTGTGGTGTTTAGTAAGTCATGTATAAATTAGCGCTTCTTGGTTATCTTCTCAGGCCTGGGCAAAGGATGACCTTCTCAGAGAACAAAACAAGGAACTTGATACTTTCAGGTCTGTATTTATGTTTTATATTTAAGGCCTTTTTTAATTGTGGTGAACATAAGACTCAAAGGATTGCCATCGATCTGAATGCTTTATCTGTATTTACAGTTGCTGTGGGAATGATAACCCTGAAATTTTCTAAATGACATTCCCAACTGCTTGGGAGCTTCTTTTATTGGTTACTGCTTTTAGTGCATTAAACTCGCAGCTGAGGTCTGAATCTTCCAAAACTTTTATGGGTTCCTGTTCTGTCTTTTGGCAGAAGAGAACACAATCATTCAGAAGCTGAGAGAACCCAGCATATAAATCAGATACAAGATCTTCAAGAGCATGTTCAAGAGAAAGAGAGGCAGTTTATTGAGTTGCAGGAACAGGTCCGTACATTTTCTTGATTTTAATTCACCTTTTACTATTCTTAGTTCCGGAGATTAAGGTGTGAATATTGTTATACTGCCCTGGTGTGCATCTGTAAGTTTATTGAAAATTACAATACTTTCATATCAACTAAAACTATGACAAACAGATTTGTTTTTGTGTGGGACATTTAAGCCATGTAACAATTTCCATTAACTATAATGTTGATTTCTAGAAGGCAGCAAGCTGCATTTGCTAATGGTAGTCGTATTCTTCAGTATAGTGCTGCTCAAGAAGCCATCCTTTATAGGGATGAACAGTTGAGAGAAGCCCAAACATGGATTTCACGTGTCCAGGAGATGGATGCTTTGCAGTCAAGTACAAACCATTCCTTACAGGCTGAGTTGCGAGAACGTACGGAGCAATATAACCAGCTTTGGCATGGCTGTCAGAGACAGGTAGATGAGTTGTTACTTTCTTGTTTACAAGTTTCTTACATTCCTTGAATAAATAGATTTCATGTCATTTTCAGCAATTTAAGTTGAACTTGTTTGTGGTTGTTAATGTTAGTTTGCAGAGATGGAGAGACTTCATTTACATACAATACATCAGCTTCAACTGGAGTTGGCTGATGTTAGAGAGAGGAATGGTTCCTATACTGTTGAATCACATATTTCCCAAAGAAAATCAAAAGATTTATCTCAGTTTGGTCAAAATAATGGACAACAATTGGATTCTAATGGAAGTGGTACAGCAAATGCTAATACTGTGGTCATTTCAACTGGAGCTTCTGACAATGTGCAATTTGTTCCAGCTAGCAATGCACCAAATCCTGTAAGATTGCTGGTTTTTTCTGAAGTGTCATTGCTGAATTGTGTTGTAATCTGAAATTTAATGTTTATAACCATCTGTGCTATAGGTGTACATCTTTCTTCATATGGTAATTTATTTCATTGCCAACATTTGATACAACTATTTTCTTTAGTTTTATAGTTGATCTCTCTTCCCCTCCCTCCCTTCCTCCCTCCCTCCCTCCCTCCATCTTTCTATATTTTTTCTAATTTATGAAATGACATGGTTCTTGTAAACTCATTTTGTAAGTTTTTAGCTGTAAAGCTTAGGCTTTTTTTAATGGTCAATTCGTGATCCTTTTGTGTATGAATCGTTTTATTACTTTTATCTTTTTGTTCTTTGAGTGATTGTATTTACTTTCAGAATCAGAATGACCATGTTCCAAGTGTTCCTGTTGCTCCAGTTGGGATGCCTACATATTTCCCACCTGGGCAGGTATCTGCTCTGCATTCGTTTATCTTGCAACAACAGGGGGCTTCCCATTCTGTGACACCGCATGTTAGAGGACACTACACAATGCTAGATACACCGTCCATCCAACAGTGGCAGAGGAAACTGGTATGGTCAAAACCTATACATTATCAATTGTTGACAAGTTTTTTGTTGTTATCTGTAATGGTTTTTCTTCATGTTTTCCAGACTTCTTCGGAGGGTTTACAGCTGTCTGCACAGGATCGTATGCCACTATCCCAAACTGATCAAAACCTTGGGAGCTCAGATGTAAAGTATGAATATGACGTGGCTCTAAAGGAGCAAACCATTCGTCCAGAGTATCTAGAGCATGTAAGCAAAGTGCCAGAGCCGAATTCTGTGATACCATCATCTTCTGGGAAAGCACAGGTTCTTTAAATCAAAATTATTCTACTCACTGTGCTCAGTGCTGTTTTTATCTGTTATTGCTACTTACTGAGACCATTTCTTTACAGGTTGTTGAGTCAATTAATGCAAGTTACCTTGTGGGCTCTCAACTTGAGCCAACCTTGCCGCAGGTTTCTTCACAATTTCACGAGGCATTAAGATTGAGCTGTGAACCTGAGGTTTGTCAGCTTGGTTAGTCTTCAAGCAGTTGGGAATCTTTCAGTTCTAACCTCTACTTCAATTTGAACTGGACAGGAACAGAATATTTTAAACATAAATAATCAAGTGGAGGATCAAATTCGAACGGCAGAGGAAACAAGTACTGCTGCTGCTAGCAGCCCATCTCATGATACTTCAGTGCATTCTGTTGAATTATGTGAAACAATTGTAAAAAATGGAACTGATGCCATTCTGCCCGAAAAGGTCTCAACTGAGCAGACTAATAACTTGATATCAGCTAAGACTTCGGAGACCGCTCTGCTTGATGAAAGGTCATTGTTGGCATGCATTGTTCGCACAATACCAACTGGTGGCAGAATTCGGATCAGTTCCACGGTTGGTCTGCTAATAATTTTTCATAGGTCAACTTTGGTATTAGGTCCTGCATGAATGGGGTTTGACTTGTGTCCGTCAATTGCAGCTACCAAATAGGCTTGAGAAAATGCTCGCTCCTTTACACTGGCATGATTACAAGAAGTATGGAAAGCTGGATGACTTTGTTGCCACTCACCTTGAGGTTTGTTTCTTGCATCTTTTACATTTCTTTTTATAGGCCTGTGGACTGTACTTTCTGAAGATCTGAAATTGTGATTTCAGCTGTTTCTGATTGAGGGGGATTATATTCAGCTTCGAGAGGGAGCACAAGAGATGATAGCAGCCACTGCTGCTGTTGCTAAAGTTGCTGCAGCAGCCGCAGCCTCATCTCCTTACTCACCCGTTTTGCCTTCTGTTGCTGTTACTCCAATGGCACAGCCTAATCGACCAAAGAGTGGTCTCCCATCAGCTGATTCCAATCATGTGAAGAATGGGAATGCTGCTTTCAAGGGGTATGTGGTCATCTCCAGAAATGCAGCTGATGATCATTCACAGCTGTTAGGGATGCAGAATCCACATCCAAATGGCATTTCTTTTGGTGTGGCTGGAAATCTCTCAAATGTAAAAATACTGAGCAAATCTAATGGAACAAATTCTGAGAGATCAAGTGTGACTAATGTTGAAAGCAAAGCCTCTGGTCTTGGAAGGTCTAATTCTAATTTTGTTGGAAAGCAGCATGGCAGGTACATGGCTTAAATTAAAACCCTGCAAATATATGATGGTCATTTATAAGTGTATTTTTATGCCTCAACTAATTAAGCTTTTAACTGTCTCATACCATGGCAGGGCAACCGGGCAGCATTATCTTCTAGAAGATAGTGAGTGAATTACCTCAATTGAATTATTGTTTGATTGTTGCGTTGGATATATTCATTATACCTGCAGTTTCTATTCTAATATAGATCTTCCTTCACTAATTTCCGTTTGCAAAATGCTAAATTTGAACCGTCTAATATAAAGAAACTGTGATTGTGCACTATAGCATTAAATTTTATGTTTCTCCTTTCTGGATTTTGATTGAATGGATGGTATGCTTTTGCACCAAGCAGGTCTACATTCGTATTGGTTGTGAAATATTCAGGGAAGGAGGAAGGACCATAATAAAGTGAAAACTAGTTTTATCATTATAGCATTATTAGAATTTCATTGTTTTTGTAATCATCATCATTTAGCCAAAGTGAGTTGAAGATTAACCGGTTTCATTTTGTCCTGGCAGGATTACGGATTTGCAATGCTAAAGTTGTGGGATACTGCAAGCATCTTGGGATATGATTTGCATCTTTGAGTTATTGGTCTTTTGCATGCGAGAGAATTATGTGATTGGATAATGAGCCGACTATTTAAATTGTTTTGCACCATATCTATTACAAAAACACTGCATTTTGTTGTCATACTTATTTCCCATTGCACCCAGTTGGAATTATTATACATATTCTTTAGCGACTAAAGCAATGGTGCTGCAGCCAGCTGCTTGGTTTGCCTGTAGGATTACTTGCGCGTAAATTACAGTATCAATCAGATCGCCAACTACCTGCGTTGTCATTTCCACAATACTAAATATATAAATGATATCAACTTCATTAGCTGCAATTTCAGCCATCCCTATCAAGACTCTCACAGCAGGTTTTTTACGAAAATTTGCCTAATCAAGGCTTCCTTTCCTTGAAAGGGGGGACGGAGATGACAAGAACAAAGCTCAAAGGAGGTGGGATTGGAGACTGGTGAAAGTGGGGTGGTTTTTTCTTCTTGAAGTGATGAAAAATGGTGAAGAGCTTGAATATGTGTGCGTATATATATATATAAATGAACATACGTATACAAATGATTGGTTAATGTAAAAAGACGTAATTTAAGTACAGGGTAAAGTATACAAACGGTTTTTTTGATTATAAGATATAGTTTTGTGGAATCTTTTAACCATTAAAAGTAATAAAATATTCTCTTTATTTTGCTGAGTTTTTCAACTATTATAAATTATAAAATAGTCACCTGATTATTTATATGTGTTAAGCTCGTCATTTTATTTTGTTAAAAATTTAGTTATTGTCAGAGTTTGACATTAACTAATTGGCTATACACGATAAAATATGATCTCAAAAATGTTTGAGTTGTATGATGTGGATTGATTCTCTGTTTACATTATGACGTTGAATTAGTGTTGGAAATATTATGTCGTGGAGTCAGTGTTTGAAATTAATGATGGTGTCAGCAGATATCATTAAAATGTAATTAAAATTCAATACAAATAACGCAATACTAAGGATGGTCTTGAAATGTCAACTTAGATAAGTCGAACTAGTGCTGGAAATATAATGTCGTGGAGTCAATGTTTGAAAGTAATGATGGTGTCAGCAGATATCATTAAAATGTAATTAAAATTCAATACAAATAACGCATTACTAAGGATGGTCTTGAAATGTCAACTTAGATAAAAATAAGATAAAATATACAAATAGTCACCTTATTATAGTGCGTTGCTTTGTTGAATTTATCTATTATTAAAAGTTACAAAATGGTCTCCTAACTATAGAATAATGTTTTGTTGAGTTCTGACTATTCGCTTGAACGTAAATCCTTGCCAACTTAATTACAAAAGTAAATTGACAATACGGTAAGAGTCTATCCTCCTCATTTGTATCATTTCATTCCATTCATTCTTTTTGGAGAGTAATAAAGCTCTGAGGCATTTACTCTAGTTCTTTTGTTCTTTGTTCTTTATTCTCTTGGTGCTTGTTGCCTCTTTTGATGGCCATAAATAGTCATACTTGTGTTTGCACTTCCACATCATAGTCCAACCTTGGTGGCTTGAAGTAGCCACGTTAGTGTTAAAGTTTCTGCATCTTAGAAGCCTTGAGGCATTGGTTCCAACCTTTGTGAGTTTGTATGCTCACTAGGTTTGAGAAGACTTAGTAGCAGAGAAGACCCAGAAGTGTCAAAAAACGTCTAAGGTCGCACGTCCCGTCAGACCTTAACTCTAATATTGCGACAGTTTGGGCTTGAAACTTTTGAGGGCGTGACAAGTGGTATTAGAGCGAGTCGTTGTGGGTAGACAACGATCGTTTCGTACGTGATATATCATAAACTCTCATTTTTGTTAAAAAAATGATGACCGTCTAAGCTGAACATTAATCTGTTAATTATGATATGATAAAATCATATTTTAATGATGTGTATTGTCACCATCATTACTTGCAAGCATTGACTCAACATCATAATATTTTAAGCACCAACTCGATGACATAATTAAATTGAGAGTCGATCGACAAAATACAACTCAAATTATTCTAGGATAAGATTTTATCATATCCTAATCAACATGTTAATGTTCAACTCAGACGACTGCTAATTTTTTAATAGAAGATGACAAGTTTGAAACATATGAATAGCCAAATGACCATTTTGTAACTTTTAATAGTGGAGAGACTCAACAAAGTCGCGTTATATAGTCAGAGATCATTTTATAATTTTTTATAGTCGAAAGACTTAATAAAGCCATTCTCTATAGTTGAGGATCATTTGTATACTTTATCCAAAAAGAAAAAAATCGTTGAAACGAAAACGTTGCGTCACATATGTCATAAGAGGCTAGAGATGGGCATGAGTCAGTTAGGACTCTACCTAACCCGACCCAACCTAAAAAATATACAACCTCCACCCGATCCGACCTGAAATAATATATTTATTTAAAAAAATATTATTTTTATTCAATAAAAATTAAAGTTTAATTAAAAATAATAATATATAAAGGGACATTACTGCAATTATATCTAAATATAAAGGTAGAATTATATGTTTTTCTCGGGTCGGGTCGAATGGGTCGGATATTTTTCACTATAAATCCGAATCCGACCTAATCCAAATATAACTTCTAAAAAAACCGACCCAAACCGAAATTTTTTTAAAAAATCTGACCCAATTAGGTCGGTTCGAGACGAAACCCGTCAGATTCGAGTCTCATGCCATTCTTATAAGAAGCGATGTCGTTTTAGTTGAGGTTGATTCCCCTTTTTCCATACATGATATTAGTTTCTACAGAGAGAGAGAGAGAGGAAAAAAGGGTAAAAAAAAAGGAAGAATATCAACGAGACAACGATGGGGTACGTTTTGAGGGTGAGATTGGCTTCGTTCTTCACGGGGGCGGCAACGGCTTCGCTTATGGGTCTGTACATCCTTTACAAGGATTACAAGGTCGCTCACGAATCCATTGCCCAACAGGTACTCTCCCTTTTCCTTTTAACATCGTTTTGTTAGGTCGCTTATAGGGTACCTTTCAAGTTTACTTTTTTTTTCCTTATGGAATTTACGAATTAATTCTGGGTTTTCTTTTCTAAACTCATTTGCATGATTATTTACTGAAACCCATGTCGTGGTGATTCTTCCACGAGGTATTGGAATAGTTGGAAATTGAATTTAGATTATATTATTTGACGCTTTTTTCTTTGTGGTCGGTGCCGGTGCTGATTTTTCTGTTTACTATGCATTTGCAACATGAAGGAGGCATTGCATTGCATGCGTAGCTGCTTCAATGATTGCTGATTGTGTCGATTGTTGATGTTTATTAATTAATATGAAAATGTAAGAAATATGATCTGTTGTAATTTGTTCTGTTAGGGCCTAGGGGTAGTATTGGATCGAGTCTGAGTTAAAAAATTTTGAGTTAGTCAAATTGACAAGAACCATTTTATAACTTGGATTTTATTTGAATTTTTTTCCAAGTCGAGTTGAATTGAGTTTCTATTTAAATTTAATTGTAAATATTTTTAATGTTATGGTACTAATTGATTCTAATTTAAACAGCTTTCTATTACCATATACGATATACATATATCATGCAGAGTTGAAGAACTCGACTCGAATTTGAAGACCAATCCATTAATTACTGAAAGTTTTGAGTTATTTGAGTCTTATTTTATAACTCAAACTTTATTTGAATATTTTTTTAGTCGAGTTGTTACTCTTAATTCTAGTAGTAGGGTCTATTACAGATATCTCTTGAGGTTGTCTGTCACGGTCTAAATTATCCCAATCACAAGTGGCATAGGTTAAGAATTTAATATAAAAGTAGTTATTTTGTAATGGAATAAAAAAATGGTATCTTGGATGAGAAAGGCTTGAGTTTGATGGATAGGGGTATTGACAAAGCAAAACCTAGTAAAAGCCATATTGCATAGTTAACACTGCAAGTCAATCAAGCGTTTCCATTGGAAACCTCTCAGGGTAAACTGGATTTGTTTTACTTATTTGGGATGACATTTTCTGTACTCTTAGCACCTTTTACTTCTCGTATGATCGTATCTTTATCGTGTTCCTGCTTTATGTTGGACATTTATCATATATGGTTGCTCTTTGTTGTGCATTACAAAGTATTGTTAAACCAACTATTTCTTTGAAAACGAAGGCATAAGATGTAAATATCTTGAAGGACTGGATTGTCTTAAGAAAGAAAAGAAAAATCTGATGCATGGTTTATATTGAATAATTCTATTGCTTGAGACTCCCAATTAGACCCATTCCAATGAGTTACTATTTGTTTTTGTGATGTGAATATGTCAAACTACCTAATGATAAGTGATTAAATGGACAGTTACTGGTGTTTTATGGAACAAAATAGTTGACAAAATGAGTAGTATTTATTTTAAACTTGCTGTGGTGCATGTCTTTCTGGTGTCTAACCTGCAGCCATTTTTGAGAGTTCAGTTGTGCACTTATGCTTTTTCATTTTTCCTTTTATCCCAAGGTGGAAAGTCTTCGTGCTCCCCTGGATAGGCGAATCTCTGCTCTGGAAAGTTTGAAACAAGTTGAAACTCCGCAACATGTGGAAGCAACCGAATAGGTCCCCTTTTACTTTTTTGTTTCTCCTTTGTGATAAAAAAGAAAATAATTGTGGTTGAACTATTAAAGTGTATTTCTGAATAGAATGACGGTACACTGAGCCAGTTGACATGATTTTCTCCATTTAATCTGTTTCTCAATAATGGTTGAAACGATCATTGTATTTGAAATTGAAGTGTAGGAGAATTCAGACTCTTTTGTAGTTTACTGCATTTTTTTTCAATAGTTGGTGAATGCTGCTGCTTCATATCTTGTCAATTATTTAGTTGTTGGCTTCATTGCTATATCAGGGTTATGAAACCATACTAAAGTAATTCGTAGGGGTGTAAATGAACCAAGTTTGAACGAATAAAATTTTGTTCATATTTATTTATTTATTTTTAAGGTGTTTATGTTCGTTTAAGATTTTAAAATTCTGTTCGTGTGTGTTTGTTTATTTCTGAAGGTGTTCGTATTCAATTTGTTTAATGTACACGAATATGTTTGCCAAGATATTCATTTAGCGATTGTTAATGTATTCATTTAAATGTTCACTTTTTGAACACCAAAGTTTACTATGTTCAATTTAATCTCTACTTTCATCAATATTTAAAATGTAGAAGATATAAGAAAAAATGTAAAAAGATACAAGGAAAAAGGAGAAGCAAGTACATGAACTTATAAACTAGTCGATAAACGAACGAGTTTTCAAATGATTTTGTTTGTGAACATAAACGAATTGAACATTCATTCATTTGTTAAATGAATAGAAATTTTTTGTTTATATTTGTTTATTTAACTTAATAAACAAATAAACAAACGTTATACGAATGATTCACGAACAATTCATTAAACATTATGTTGAACTATACTCTTAAACCTCTTAAACAGTAAACAAATGCTTCAATTTGTCAAGTAAATTAGTTCACTCTCCCCTATCGAGAAGTGCCTAGATGGTGCCTTTGTGCCAAGGTACTTGATCAAGATTCACTCGATATTGTTGTTAATTAAACCGATTAATTGTACAGCTCTGCTCATCAATTTAATTTCTGGGTTCTTGACTTGGATTGGGCTGATCCTGATTGATAGCTTCTAAGTACAGCATTAGTTACTACCTACATGCATCTGATACAAGGAAATATATAATTCGCAGTGAAAGGCTAAAAAGAAGCCTTCGCTTATGCTTTGTTTACTCATTTTCCATGCTTTTCATTTAGCCTAATTAGAGAAGCCACTACATCCCTCATGGAGGGTCTTGTATCAGCCATAGATTGAGTGCATTGAAGTGCCAATTCCAGCAACCTGAGGGTCTTTTGTTGTTCATCATTGCTCCAAAGGCTGATCTCTTCATCAAGAAAGCAAATGCATTCTTCATTTTCCTCTAGTTTCTTCCTAGTCCACGAGACAATAACTAAGCCATCCTGGAAGCTAGGGTCCACAGGCAATTTCCTGCAGAGCATCTCCAGTAGAACTACTCCATAGCTGTAGACATCACATTTCTCTGTCAACCGAGTTGAGTATGCATTCTCTGAAAAGGAGCCATGAAAGAATTCATATATGATCTCGGTTTTTCCGGAAGTATGTAGCGGTCTCGTTTAAAATCAGTGGGAGATATGATGGAACAAACCTGGTGCTATGTATCCCAATGTTCCAACAATTTCAGACCTTGTTGAGCTTGAATCCTGATCCTGATTGTAGACCGACTTTGCCATTCCAAAGTCTCCGATCTTTGGTTCGAATTCAGAATCCAATAGGATATTATCTGATTTGATGTCTCTATGGATAATCTGAGGCACGCAATCATGGTGAAGGTAGGAAAGCCCATGAGCTATGCCGAAAGCGATATGATATCTTGTATCCCAGTTTAAAACCAAGCGTGGTTGGCTCTGGTGGAGCACATCAAAGAGTGTCCCGCCAGGCATGAACTCGGTCACGATGAATCCATATCCATCTCTAATGCAGTAACCTGCCATTCTCAGTATGTTACGATGCCTGATTAACCCAAGAGTTCTAATCTCGAGTTTGAAGTTTGTGTTGGACAAATTCACTTTCTTGACTGCCCAATGGTTCCTTGAGTTGGAAGTTTCTGTTCTGTAAACTGTTCCATGCCTACCTCTGCCAATGATATACTTGTCACTCCATCCTTCTGTAGCACGGATAATATCTTCAATTTTCAAGTTCTCGGGTAGATCTTCGGTTCTAGAATGTCGTTCAAGGAGAAGAGTTTGATCAACAGAATGTTTCTTTTGTTGGCGCCCAACCACCAGTGCATAGATCATTGCAGAAAGCAATGCCAAGGAGACCACCACAGCAATGATTACCCCAGCAAGAACCTTTCCCCTGCTGTTGCCTTCTTTTATTTCCCTACATTTACCAGTTTCATCACCCAGCAGGCAAAGCTCCGGGTTTCCAATGAAAGATCCGGGATATGAAGCGACGATCCTCATCCAAACAGATCACAATTTTCCTTTTAGGCGATTAAATGATATGTTCACAAAATAGAGGGAGATCATGTTGTTCATATCTGCCGGTATCTCACCAGAGAAACTGTTGCTTGAGAGGTCAATAATTTGTAGCTTGTCTAGTTTGCCAAGGCATGCAGGGACTTGACTGGAGAGCTCGTTGTTGCTTAAATTGAGAATTGAACTGAAATGGTGAAGGTTACTCAGACTACATGGAATGCTTCCTTCAAGCATGTTAGCTCCGAGCTGCAATTCGATTAGGCTTTGGAGGGATGAAAAGGAATCAGGAATATATCCACCGAGTTTGTTTTCTTGGAGTAGAAGGTTTTGCAGATTGGGCAATGATATTATTTCTGACGGAATACTTCCTGATAGATGATTGAAGCTTATGTCCAGTTTGATGATCTTCTCGCAATGGCCTAACTCCGATGGATTGCTTCCTGTAAGTGCATTAGAAAAAAGACTTAAAATTTGCAGATTCTCAAGCCTCCCAAGCTCCGGAGGTATCGAGCCTGAGAGCCTATTCCTTGACAAATCCAACATTGAAAGATTGGTCCAGTGACCGAACACTGGGGGAATCTTTCCTTCGAGCAAGTTTCCTTGGACTTCCAGGAAGAAAATCCCAGGGTTCTCGTCCAAATCTGATGGTATAGGCCCTTGGAGAAGATTGTTACTAAGGATCACCCTTCTGAGGGACAAGCATTTCCCAATATTAGCAGGGAAGCTCCCACTGAAACGATTGTTCCCAAGGGCCAAAACAGAAAAAATTATGTCCAGCGCATATTCTGGACGGAATCGATCCATTAGTTGAGTTCCCTGATAAATCTAATCTGACCAAAGCAGGAACATTTCTGCTGAGATCAAATTGGACTTCCCCAGCAAGATCATTCTGAGCCAGGGATAAGAATCTCAATTTCTTCAAATGGCCAATTTCAGGAGGAATTGTACCACTTAAACTGTTATCATACAGAGCCAGCTGCACCAGGTTGCTCAGCCTACCAATGTCATGTGAAATTTGTCCTTCAAAATGATTGTTGAATAGAAAAAGAACCTCCAGATTCTTGAGATTGCAAATTTCTGGAGGGATGGTTCCTCCAATGAAATTATGCTGAAGCCTAAGTTCAACAAGTGAAGTGCAGTTTCCAAGCTCAGGAGGTAATGAGCCATTAAGCTTCTTGTTAAAAATAAAGAGATTAGCTAAACCTGTAAGGTTTCCTATTGACTGAGGAATGTGACCAACCAGACTATTACCTGAAAGTGCAATCACCACAAGCTGATTGCATTGAGCAATCCTCTCAGCAATAGTTCCATTCAGCTTGTTCCCTGACAGAACAAGCTCTTTCAAGTTCTGCAGACTCCACAAAGTGTCTGGAATTTCCCCCTCCAGATTGTTTTCATCAAGATAAAGAATCTCAAGTTGCAGAAGGCTCTTAAAACTCTCTGCTGGAATTACCCCTTGGAATCTGTTGTAGGATGCTATGAACGTTGTAAGGTTATAGCAGTTCCTCAAGGTACGAGGCAAAGAACCAGAAAATCCATTCTCATGGATCCAGAAATCCAGAATCATACATGAAGGTGGTAAATCAGGCAGTGAACCAGTGAGGTTTTTTGTGTGTAAATAAAGGAACTTCAAATTCGGTAGAGAAAACATTTCATCTGGAACCACTCCACTTAGAAAATTGTTGTACAGTCCAATAAATTCCAGACTGGTGCAAAGACTTACCTCTGGAGGAATTTCACCAGACAGTGAGTTATAACCCAAGTCAATCCTTGTAAGCCACTTCGAGATGAAAACATGACCAGGGATTGACCCTTCAAAGACATTATCATTGAGAAGAATGGTGTTTAGTTTGCTGCAGTTTCCCAGAATTTGAGGTATATTACCACTGAAACTGTTGCCACTGAGATCAAGAGAGACCATACGCTTGTGGAGGCAAAGAAAAGGGACAGAGTTGTTTAACATACCAGATAACCCAAAGCCTGAGAGATTCAAGGCTTTGACTTGAATAGTGTTTTTGGAGTAGCAAGACACACCTACCAATTGGCAATGAGAAACTGATTGATTCCATGGTAACAGAAGCTGAGTGTTTTGGGAGGCTGTTAAGAAACTGAAGAAGGTAAATTGCAGGTGGAGATAAGGAGGGTGATGATGATGATGCAAGGGAAAGCATGAGGGAGTAGATAAGAAGACGATACTGGAATAACAACAGCACCATGTTCTTATGGAACTTCTTTTGACGACACTGATTTCACATGTCCACATGCGTTTTATGTTTTGTTTGGAATGAAACAGTTGGGCAAGTTGCAGGCGCGTGTTGTTTCCTGGTGGAACTAGAAGGGTGGAATCATGGTGGCTTTGATAAAGCCAAAAAACAATGCTGCTATATCAAGTGTCAATGAAGTAATAATATTTATTCATGACATGTTTGTTTTGGCACATCCTTTGCTATTCGTAGACGCCTCATGATATGATGCCAACTAAGCCCCAATGTCTTGTACAACAATTTAAGTTGTTAAATGTTAATGATTTTTTTTTAATATAATGACATTTTAGGTTTTTTAATTTGAATATTAATCAAATCTTTTCTAATTTATTCTTGATTTTTAAATGAAATATTTAATAAATTATTGTTTTTTTAATATAAACCAATTTAATTTTGTCCTTGTCCATTATGATATGGGCCAAACTCGGATATCAATGGGGCATTCAAATTAAAAAAAATGTCACGTCACCGTGGAAGCCGATAAGATTGGTACGAAACGGACCTACTATTTCACATCTTTTCTTTACAGGTAAATATGGTGTTATTCGCGGAAGCTGACTTGACTCAACTTTCGGATATCAAAGAAACTTTGGACAAGTTTTGTAGAGCTTCAAGGTACAAGGTGAGTATAGAAAAAACGACAATGTTTTTCTCTAAACACGTGCATGCAAACGTAAGACAAGCAATTAGCTCACAGATCGGGTACGATGTAGTTAAGGAGCTGGGGAAGTACCTGGGCATTCCCCTCCTACACTTCCGATTTACCAAAGCTGCATATCAGTACGTGACTCAAAAGGTTCGGGACAATCTCTCGGGGTGGACAGCGCGTAGTCTCTCGTTAGCAGGCACAATAACACTGGCTAAAGAAGTGCTTTCATCGATTCCCTACTACACCATGCAAGCTACATGACTACCCAAAGGGACGTGCAAAGAAATTGAAAAACTCGTACATGACTTCTCATGGGGAAACACGAAAGGTAAGGATGGTGTACATCTTGTAAGCTGGAAGGAAATATGCAAACTTACTACGCAGGGGGCCTTGGTTTTAAACACTTTAAACAGCAGAACGCGGCATTCACTTTGAAGATAGGATTTGTAATACTTTTTCCGTTTCATAATTTGTGTCTTATATTAACTATACACATAATTTTATGAGATATATTTATCCCAATGAATGATAAATTATCCTTAAAAAATGATTGTTAGATATGATAGATGTATTTTAATAGGTGTAAAAGAGTGATACATATAAGGATAAAAAAGAAAATACAAATGTTATTATTTGTTGACATTTCTAAAAGAACATTTTAGATTAAATGATTTTAAAAATTAAAAGAGACACATTTAATGAGACAGAGAAAATAGAAAAACAGAATTAATTGTGGGTCAAAGTAATTCGATCTAAATACAAATGGGAGGAGGGGATTCCGAAAATGGGGAGAAAATATCCAACTTGCAGCTATGGAAAGGAATTAACCTAATAAATTCCTTCACAGGGACAAAATAGGGGCTAAAAAGGTATTGGAGAGAAGTCGAAGATTGAAAGGGAATGTCTGGCAGTGCTGCATTCAGCGAGAAAAAAGATATCAACGAGTGAACAAATGAAAACAATGGAAGCTCAAAGTGATCACCTCCTCCACACAGGCTGGATCAAAGTAAACACAGATGGAACACAAGATAACAAAGAAGGATTTTCCTCCTGCGGAGGCTTGATCAGAAGTAATTCAAGAGCCTGGGTGGTCGGGTTCTCGAAATTTCTGAGAATTTGCTCAATGGTTGAAGTTGAGTTATGGGGAATTCTTGAAGGGTTGCATCAAGCGTGGCGCCTAGGTGAGGAGAAAGTTATCCTAAAAACTGACAACCCGGAGGTAGTTTGGTTGATTCAAAGTAGGCAATCGCGGGGCTTATCCTTCCAATTCATTGACCGCATTTTTGAACTGTTGGAGAGGAAGTGGACAGTCTCAATAAAACACATCCTCCGAGAAGCTAATTTGACCGCTGACAGAATGGCGAAGCTGGTGAAAGTTGGTGTTAAGGATTGTAAGGTTTACATGGATCCCCCAGGAGAAATAGTACTGTTATTGTAACTAGAATGTAAGCCCTTGGGCAAACTTGAACAATAAATGATAATATTTTTTTAATATAAAAAAATATCATGTCACCGTTAATTTTTTTAACAACATATAATTAGAGATGGCAAACGGGTACAGTTTCGTGGATTCCGCACCGCATCCGCTCCAATTGGAGTGGGGATGGGTATAATTTTAGCGGGTAGTAGGCGGGTGTGGATTTATAAAGTGGTACCCGTCGTGGGTGGTGGGCGGGTAATGAGTTTGAGATATTACCCGCCCCGCATCCGCCCGCCCCACATCCGCCCACCTAACTAAATATCTATTAAATTTTGGACCATTATGAATTTAGGTGTAATTTTAGAGACTAATTTATAAATTTTAATATTGTATAATAAATAACATATAATTTATCCAAATATTAAGGATATTTAGTCTTTAATTTGGTCTTTAATTAGGAAAATATTCGACTCTTTGATTAAACCCATAATCCCACTAACCACGCCACTTTCCATGTTCTTTAGCCCATGCTGCCCATCCAAACACAAATCACCTGTACTATAAGCATCTTTCATACCAACAATTATATATTGTGGCGGACTCTAATCTAAATAGGGTTCTTTGACGAAAAAGGGTCAGAATGAGGAAATAGGATGATCCAGATTTATCATGGCTATCCAAGAATTTCCATCTTTGAATTATGGGTTCGTTCATAGTATAAGACTTATCTGATCTTTTCATCTGATCTTTTCAATTGTTAGAATTTTTTTTTCTTGAAACAATCATGAATTTTTCTAGAACAGTATTTAAGGATCTCATCGAAAGCAGCAGTTTCCATGTTCATTAGCCCCTCAAAACCTATATTAGGCGCACTATGAGCATTAACATCGAAAGCAACACAACAATCCAGCTCTGCAACTACATGCTCCCTACAATTTGTCTCCATAACATTCGTAGAGCTACTCCTCTGACAAATTGAAGCATGCGCTGCTACCCCATCACAAACTGTCGGGGAACCAACTCCAACATCCCATTAGTTTGTTGTCAGGCGGGTCTAGATGGGTATGTCGCTAGTGAGTAGTGGGTGTGGGGATGGATTTGAAAATGTACCCGCGTGGGCGGGTGTGGATTTGAAAATTTGTACCCATCATGGGTAGTGGGCGGGTGGTAGATTAAAAAATATTAGGTGGGTATGGGGATGGGGAGAAGGTATCCGCACCCGATCCGCCCGTTTGCCATCCCTACATATAATATTAGGTATAATTTTTTAAAGACATATGATCAAAACGAATTCACATATAATATTAGGTATAATTTTTTAAAGACATATGATCAAAACGAATCTAAAATATAACATTTGATATAATTTAAAAAAAATAATTGAGTTACTAAAACGTAAAGTATTTGGTGGATAACGTAATAGGTATTTACCCTTTATTTTTAGGGTAGGGTGGTTTTTCCGAACAAGCAAAATAGGTATAGCCTTTGCGCATCCGGGGAATCGAACCCCGGTCAGTACCGTGGGAGGGTACTATGATACCACTACACTAGATACGCTTGTTATCAAATTAAGGAAAGTTTTTAAATAATATCTCTAGTTATCTTTCATACTCCAATTATGCTGCTTTTGTAAAGCAAGACAGCAATGCTGAGGGGTCCCATCACCACCGATAAAAATATGATGATCATGTTCTCTGAAAGTCGAAAAAAATGAGGTCACTTGCCTTTTCTCTAAAATGCAATAAATATATTTTAAAATTATTAAATATTATTATCGGAACCATCTTTCGGTTAGGCCCGTAATTGGGCTTCGACTTGGATTAAATGAATTGGAGTCGCCACCGATCATTTATTTTAAAATAAATGGGTTGATCGGATACCCTATTTCTTACCTGATATGCGTCTTAGCAAAGATGTGTCGAATTCGGGAGTCGATTACAGTCAAGGAATGGTTAGTACCCCTGAACTGCCCTTTCGGTACTATATAATTTCCAGTTGTCTTTAGTTAAGAAAATTGTAATTTTAAATTAAAAGATAAAATGACGATCCAAATTACTTACCTTTAACCGTTTTTGAAAACGTACCCTTAAAACATCAAGAAAAGTGTTCGAAATGAAAAGGTGAAGATACATAAAATGAAATAAAGAAGGATAAAAATGAATAAATAAATAAATCAATACAAATAAAAAGATCACAAAATAAAATGAAATAAAATATATACTAATAATAATAATAATAAAACATAGATAAACAATAAACAAAAAATGAGTAACAATACAACCAAAGGAAAAAAAACAGAAATAAGTATATATATGATAGTAATAAATTGAAAAACTAAAATATATATATATAAAATAAAAAAAATATAACTAAATATGTACATAGACAATAATAATAAAGAGGAAACTAAATAATATATATATAAATACACGTTAATGATAAATAATAATAATAAATAAACAATATATTTATATAAAAAAGTATAATAAGATACTAAAAAGTATAATAAATACAAAAAAATGGAAATGATAAAAAGAAATAAAAAAATAATAATAAATAATAAGCGGTATAGTTAAATACATATAACAAGGATTAAAATACAAAAAGAAAGAAATTTGTGGGCCAATTTAATGAGAGTTCGGGATTTACAGTCAAATGTGGGGGGACCGAATTGAAAGGAAAAGTGAATTAAATGACCAAATTAAGAGAGAATCAGAGCTTAAATTAGGATTAAGGGTTAAAATAAAAGGATCAAAGCTACGAGGGACCAAAAATAGAATTTCTCCATTTGCATTTTAAAAACACGCGGATCTAGGGGATCCGCTCGGGTCGGTCTTAACTGGTTGTATAAAACTTAATTTTTTTAAAAGATGTTTTATTTCT